GTTTTTCGTTTTTTCAGTTTTTCAATTTCTCGATTTTTAATTAATCAGTGTTTTCAGGTTTCTATTTTACAATTTTTCCATTTTTCAATTGTTTTTCAATTATCCACTTGTTTAATTTCTCATTTTTTTCATTTTTCGATTTTTCAATTTTAAAATGTTTCTATATTTCAAGTTTCATTTTTCAATATTTCAATCTCATTTCTTCGTTTTTTTCAAGTTTTCTGTATTTTTAAAAATTCTTCGATTTCTCAATTTTATGATTTTTCAATTCAATTCAAAATTTCGGTTTGAATAAATTTGTCCATTTTTAATTTTTCACTTTTTTCAAATAATTATTAAGGCTTTTATTATTCAATGTGTTTCGTTTTTTCGATGTTACAGTTTTTTAATTTTTCCATGTTTCGTTTTTACAATTTCTTAATTTTTTAGTTTTCCGGTTTTCATTTTAAAATTTTTTTATTTTGAATTTTTTTTTTTTTTTTTTGATTATCTAATTTATAGAAGTTTTTGTTTTTCGTTTTTTTAATTAATCATGGTTTTCAGATTTCAATATTAGGTACAATTTTTCGATTTTTCAATTGTTTTTTCAATTACCCACTTGTTTAATTTCTCATTTTTTTCATCCAAAAAAATGAAAAATTAAAAATCAAGAATTTAAAAAATTGTATATCGAAAAATTGCAGAATTGCTTCGTTTTGTCGATTTTTCCGTTTCTTGATTTTTAATTAATCGGGGTTTTGAGGTTTCATATTACAATTTTTCAATTTTGAATTATCCAGTTCAATTTCTCAATTTTTTCATTTTTGATTATGTAATTTATAGAAATTTTTGTTTTTCGTTTTTTCAATTTTTCAATTTCTCGATTTTTAATTAATCGGGCTTTTCAGGTGTCAATATTACAATTTTTCAATTTTTCAATTGTTTTTTCAATTGTCCACTTGTTTAATTTCTCGATTTTTCAATTTTAAAATGCTTCGATATTTCAAGTTTCATTTTTCAGTTTTTAAGTCTAATTTTTTCAGTTTTTTGAAGTTTTCTTTATTTTTTCAATTCTTCGATTTCTCAATTTTTTGATTTTTCAATTCAATTCAAAATTTCGATTTGAATAAATTTGTTCTTTTGTTGAACAATTAAGAAATGACAAATCGAGAAAATGAAGAAATAAAAATCGAGAATTTGAAAAATTTTATACCGAAAAATTGCAGAATTGCTTCGTTTTGTCGATTTTTCAATTATCCAATTCGATTTCCCAATTTTTTCATTTTTGGATTTTTCGATTTTTCGATATTTCAAGTTTCATTTTAAAATCTTTGGAATTTGATTTTAAAATTTTTTGAACTTTTGATTATTTAATTTATAGAAATTTTTATTTTTCGTTTTTTCAATGTTTCAATTTCTCGATTTTTAATTAATCAGGGTTTTCAGGTTTCTATAGGAGTACAATTTTTCTATTTTTCAATTGTTTTTTCAATTATCCACTTGTTTAATTCCCCATTTTTTCATTTTTCGATATTTCGAGTTTCATTTTTCAATTTTTAAGTCTCATTTTTTCGGTTCAATTCAAAATTTCGGTATCAATAAATTTGTCCTTTGTTGAACAATTAAAAAATGAAAAATCGAAAAAATGAAAAATTAAAAATCGAGACTGAAAAATTTTATACCGAAAAATTGTAGAATTGCTTCGTTTTGTCGATTTTTCCATTTCTTGATTTTTAATTAATTAAATTTCAATATTACAATTTTTCAATTTTGAATTATCCAGTTCAATTTCTCAATTTTTTCATTTTTCGATTTTTGAATTTTTCGAAGTTACAAGTTTCATTTTAAAATTTTTGGATTTTGAAACTAAAATTTTTTGTATTTTTAGTTATTTAATTTATAGAATTTTTGTTTTTCGTTTTTTCAATTTTTCAATTTCTCGATTTTTAATTAATCGGGGTTTTCAGGTTTCAATATTACAATTTTTCGATTTTTCAATTGTTTTTTCAATTATACACTTGTTTGATTTCTCATTTTTTTCATTTTTCGATTTTTCAATTTTAAAATTTTTCGATATTTCAAGTTTAATGTTTCAATTTTTAAATCTCATTTTTTCGGTTTTTTCAAGTTTTCTACATATTTTCAATTCTTAGATTTCTCAATTTTTTGATTTTTCAATTCAATTCAAAATTTCGGTTTGAATAAATTTGTCCCCTTGTTGAACAATTAAAAAATGACAAATCGAGAAAATGAAGAAATAAAAATCGAGAATTTGAAAAAAATTTATATCGAAAAATTGCAGAATTGCTTCGTTTTATCGATTTTTCAATTTATCGATTTTTCAATTATCCAATTCGATTTCCCATTTTTTTCATTTTTCGATTTTTCGATTTTTCGATATTTCAAGATTCATTTTAAAATCTTTGGATTTTGAAATTAAAAATGTTTGTATTTTTGAGTATTTAATTTATAGAAGTTTTTGTTTTTCCTTTTTCCAGTTTTTCACTTTTTCGATTTTTAATTAATCAGGGTTTTCAGGTTTCAATATTACAATTTTTCGATTTTCCAATTCTTTTCTCAATTCTCCACTTGTTTAATTTCTCATTTTTTCATTTTTCGATTTTTCAATTTTAAAATTTTTCGGTAGTTCAAGTTTCCTTTTTCAAATTTTAAGTCTCATTTTTTCGGTTTTTTCAAGTTTTTTTTTTCAATTTTTCAATTTCTCGATTTTTAGATTTTACAATTCAATTCAAAATTTCGATTTGAATAAATTTGTCCTTTTGTTGAACAATTAAAAAATGACAAATCGAGAAAATGAAGAAATAAAAATCGAGAATTTGAAAAAATTTTATATCGAAAAATTGCAGAATTGCTTCATTTTATCGATTTTTCAATTTATCGATTTTTCAATTATCCAATTCGATTTCCCATTTTTTTCATTTTTCGATTTTTAAATTTTTCGATATTTCAAGATTCGTTTTAAAATCTTTGGATTTTGAAATTAAAAATGTTGGTATTTTTGAGTATTTAATTTATAGAAGTTTTTGTTTTTCCTTTTTCCAGTTTTTCACTTTCTCGATTTTTAATTAATCAGGGTTTTCAGGTTTCAATATTACAATTTTTCGATTGTCCAATTCTTTTCTCAATTCTCCACTTATTTAATTTCTCATTTTTTTCATTTTTCGATTTTTCAATTTTTCAATTTTAAAATTTTTCGGTATTTCAAGTTTCCTTTTTCAATTTTCAAGTCTCATTTTTTCGGTTTTTTCAAGTTTTTTTTTTCAATTCTTCAATTTCTCGATTTTTAGATTTTTCAATTCAATTCAAAATTTCGGTTTGAATAAATTTGTCCTTTTGTTGAATAATCAAAAAATGACAAATCGAGAACATGAAAAATTTTATATCGAAAAATTGCAGAATTGCCTCCTTTTGTCGATTTTTCAATTTTTCGATTTTTCAATTTTTAGATTTTTCGAAAAAATTGGGAAATCAAATTAATTATCCAATTTGATTTCCCAATTTTTTCATTTTTCAATTTTTCGATTTTTCGATATTTCAAGATTCATTTTAAAATCTTTGGATTTTGATTTTAAAATTTTTTCTACTTTTGATTATTTAATTTATAGAAATTTTTGTTTTTCGGTTTTTCAATTTTTCAATTTCTCGATTTTTAATTAATCAGGGTTTTCAGGTTTCAGTATGTCAATTTTTCGATTTTTCAATTGTTTTTTCAATTATCCACTTGTTCCTCATTTTTTCATTTCTCGAAATTTCAAGTTTCATTTTTCAATTTTTAAGTTTCATTTTTTCATTTTTTCCAGGTTTTCTTTATTTTTTCAATTCTTCGATTTTTCAGTTTTTTGATTTTTCAATTCAATTCAAAATTTCGGTTTGAATAAATTTGTTCTGTTGTTGAACAATTAAAAAACGAAAAATGGAAAAAATGAAAAATTAAAAATCGAGAATTTGAAAAATTTTATACCGAAAAATTGCAGATTTGCTTCGTTTTGTCAATTTTTCAATATCTCGATTTTTAATTAATGAGGGTTTTCAGGTTTCTATATTACAATTTTTCGATTTTTCAATTGTTTTCTCAATTCTCCACTTGTTTAATTCCTCATTTTTTTCATTTTTCAATTTTTGATTCTCAATTTTTCGGTTTTTTCAATATTTCTTTATTTTTTTCAATTCTTCGACTTCCCAATTTCCAAATTTTTTGATTTCTCAGTTTCATAATTTTTAGACGTTTCAATGTTACAATTTTCTGGTTTTAAAATTTTTCAAAATTTCAGTTTGAATAAATTTGTCCTTTTGTTGATTTTTCATTTTAAAATGTTTGTATTCTTCATGTTTCAATGATACCATTTTCCAATTTTCCAATATTTTAGTTTGGATAAATTTGTTCTTTTGCTGAAAAATTAAAAAACTAAAAGTTTAAAACCCAAAAAATTGTAAAATCGGAGAACTAACAAAGCAAAAAATGGAATAGTGTAGTAGTGTTTAGTTAAATTAAATGCACAGATTAATTAGATATATAATGTGTTAATTAGTGTCACTGTCAACCATGTCAGTTTTGACAAACGAAATATGGTAGAGTGACAGGTCTGCCAATTTCAAGCAAAATTCGTTCATACCAACTGAAACACTATTTATTTTATTAATCGCGCCGTATAAATACTATAATGTAAAATTCGTGCGTTGAACTCCGGACGCTATTAATAATGTAAGAATAGTGTTAAGCTGAGTCAATAAGCGCGCGGTCTCTCAGTTTCATTAATTATTATTATTACAGATACAAAAAAGTATATAAAAATCCAACTCTTTGTACAGCACGAAACAACAAATTTATTTTTAGCTCCACCGAGTATTTTCTACACTTAACATCAATATTTATATATAGAAACAGATTACGATGCGACATAAAAAATATAAAAAAAGAAGAAAGTCTGACGCCGAACTTCCTTAACATTTAAACTTCCCGCTACTGGGTTTTGGCGCCCGTATTCCGCGCCCCCTGGCGGCATCTGTCAAACGCACCTGTGAAAAGTCGTACAGCATCGTGCAGCATGAAATCGAGTTAACAAGTCATAAATCCGCACCAGTTTGTTTAATGTACAAAACAACAAACCAAAAACACATTTCATAATATCCCGTGCCCCATATCCGTCAATGGGTCTGATAATGGGCTCACTACTCTCAGAACCAGTCACCGAAAAAGAGTCCGCGGACTATTCCAATGAGAGATTTCTTTGTGGGGCAAGTTCCATGCAAGGCTGGCGCGTTAGCCAAGAGGTAACTAGCACAAATCCACTAATGCTGACTTCTCAACCACATTTATTCTAGGATGCCCACAATTGCATTCTGGACTACGACACAAACACGTCGTTTTTCGCCGTTTACGACGGCCATGGGGGCCACGAGGTGGCTCAATACTGCTCGCAGAAGCTCCCCGACTTTATCAAAGACCTTGATGACTACAAAGAGGGCAAAATCGGCGACGCGCTAACCTCGGGGTTCCTCAAATTCGACGCACTGATCGCGACGCCGGAAGTCGTCGAAGTGCTGAAAAAAATGGCTGATGAGAAGCAAGAGTGTGAAGAGAGCGACGTCGACGAGGAGGAAAATATTAAGAACTTGTACGAAGAGGCGGCTATGCCTATCGAACAAGTCATCGAGAAGTACACCTCGAGCAAAGTGAACTTGAAAAAAGACGAAGACGCGCCAGTTAAAGCTAAAAAAGATAAAGACGAGGTTGTTGCTTCGTCGGCTTCGTGTTCGAGTTCCGGCGAACCCGCGCAAAAGGATGGTGTGAGCAGTTCGACTGAAGCCGACACGAGTGGTCAGTGTTTGACGTATTTTAAGCACTAAATTTAATTGCAGCAGTTTCATTATCACTCCAACGTGATAACTCATTTATTTGCTTTTATAGCGTGTATGACTCATTTTAGAGTGTAAATCACCAGTCTTATTATATTTCTGGGTCATTCATTGTTACCAGCGTTATTTAATCGCTATAAATTAACAACAATTGACGATTTTCATTTATGTTGTTGTAGATAAAAGTACCGAGGAAAGCAAACCCGAAGCTAACGGTTCGAGTGACGTTTCACAAACCCAAACTGTTGTACCTAAAAGCTCTGAGGAGAAACCAGAAGTGGAATCCACGTTGAAAGAGCAGAAAGATGAAGCACCCATTCAGAATGGTGAAATTTCAACGCCGAGTGTGGATGCTCAAGCTAAAAGTAATGTGACTAGTTCGACGCCCGTCGAAAATGGTACACCCTCAAAAAAGGGGAAAGGGAAAGCTGTAATTAAACCAGAACCGGTGAAAACCACAAACACCAGACCAAAAAGAACCGCACAACAATTGTATAAAAATTGGTTAGATTTTGGGGAAGATAGCGAGGATTCTGATGAAGAGGATGACACGTTTGAAGGACCCAAAGGTAATTTGTGTAGGCTGTATTTCATTGGTTGGTTGCGACGTTCTGATTGGTTAATTTCTGCGAAAAATCGTTCATTGGTGGTTTTTTGTCAGGTTGGCAAATTTTATAATGGCATACCTGATTGTCAAATTGACATTTATCTGCCATCAACGTTTACTAGCTATGTTCAGAATTACCAACACAAAAATGTTTTTATTTCGGGTGCTAAATGCAGTTTGGGTTCTTAGAAAAAAAATATTTTTAAAATAATGATAAATGTCAAACTGAACAAGGAACGCCTTGTTGCCAACATAATTATTTTGACATTAAGTTTCAATAAGACCTTTTTTCGTTCGTGTTGTTACAAAGTTGGCACTAGTATTAAATTGAGAAAAAAATAAACACATCGTCTCGGCTTGCCTGGGTGAGAGCTACTTTCATGTTTTCCCGATAATTCATGACCCCGAGAATGTGAAAAATAGGTCTCTCGTTTCCGTCTAAAAAATGTATGTGATCACCCTCACGAACAATTTAATGACGTCAAAGTTTTGAAGAGTAAATGCTGTGTAAATTTTATCCAGTAACTTACTCCTGTATTTGTGGTTTATGAATCCAACTCGATTGATTGGTTAAAGTAGTACATTTTTGCAAGGAAATATGGATTTTGAAATTATGGGGCGGAGCCTATTTGCAAAATCGATATTTCTTTATAGAAATTTTTCATTTTAAACATGTTTTAGATTTCTTGTTGTGAAAAGAAATCTACACATATTAAAACAAAAAAACAAAATGTAAGCCCGCCCACCCGACCTGTCTTGATTGTGATGATTTTTTTTATTCGCCGTAAACCAAGGAGGCGGAGCTTAACTGCAAAATGCTTATTTCTTTACAAGAAATTAAAAACATGTTTTTGGGTAACGTGTTCAAAGAATACTATGTACCTATATTAAGAAAAAAAAAGGCAAAATATTAAACCCCGCCCACCCAACCTGTCTGATTTTTTTTATTCTTAGAAACTTAAAACACGTTTAACATGGTAAATTTTTGTAAGGAAATATGGATTTTGCAGTTAAGCTCCGCCCTCTTGGCTCACGACGAATAAAAAAAATCATCACAATTGAGATAGGGCGGGTGGGCGGGGCTACATTTTGTCTTCTTTTTTCTTAATATGTGCAGGCTTATTTCAACTTAAAATTAACTCTGTCACATGCAGATTTCGCCGTGTTTTCTTCTACTTGATGACTTTTTCATTGGAACACCCGTTATAAGAAATTTTGCCACATTTTAAAATTAAAGTATGTATAAAGTTGTCGAGTAACACCATCGTTCGAAACGTGGCTAAGAGTTTAACCTTTTTTATTTTCTATTACTTGAAAAAAGAAAAAAATTTGCATCGTAAATGCTATTTAAATTTTAGAAAATAACTTAATCCTGTATTTGTGGTTTATAAATCTTCCTTGATTGTCTGTCCGGGGCATCGAGATTTTTACAATTTTTTCTTAATATACATAGCCATCTTTTCACAACAAGAAACATAGAACATGGTTAAAGTAGTACATTTTTTGCAAAGAAATACGGATTTTGCAATTATGCAAAATCGAAATTTCCTTATACAAATTTTCTTTTTTAAACATGTTTTAAGTTTCATATTACGAAAAGAAGTCTACACAACATATTAAAACAAAAAAACAAAATATAAGCCCGCCCACCCGCCCTGTCTCAATTGTGATTTTTTTTTTATTCGCCGTCAACCAAGGGGGCGGAGCTTAACTGCAAAAAACTTATTCCTTTACAAGAAATTAAAAACATGTTTTTGAGTATGTGTCCAAAGAATACCATATATATTAAGAAAAAAGGGCAAAATATTAAATCCCGCCCATCCACCCTATCTCAATTGTGATGATTTTTTTTATTCGCCGTGAACCAAGAGGGCGGAGCTTAACTGCAAAATGCTTATTTCTTTACAAGAAATTAAAAACATGTTTTTGAGTATCGTGTTCAAAGAATACTATATACATATATTAAGAAAAAAAAGCAAAATATTAAACTCCGCCCACCCACTCTGTCTCAATTGTGATAATTTATTTTATTCTTAGAAACTTAAAACACGTTTAAAATGGTAAATTTTTCTAAAGAAATAAGGATTTTGCAGCTAAGCTCCGCCCTCTTGGCTCACGCCGAATTAAAAAAACAGTCACAATTGAGACAGGGTGGGTGGGCGGGCTTATATTTTGGTTTTTTGTTTTAATATGTGTAGACTTATTTCGACTTAAAACTAACTCGTCAAATGCAATTTTCGCTATGTTTTCTTCTACTTGATGACTTTTTTATTTGAACACTCGTTATAAGAAATTTTGCCACATTTTAAATTTGAAATATGTATAAAGTTGTTGAGTAACGCCATCCGTTCGAAGCGTAGCCGAGAGTTTAACAAGTTTTTTCTATTATTTGGAGAAAGGAAAAAAATTGCATACTAAATACTATTTAAATTTTATAAAATAACTTAATCCTGTATTTGTGGTTTATGAATCTTCCTTGATTGTTTGTCTTGGGCATCGAGATTTTTACAAAACATGTCCAAATTGTATTACATTTTATGCACGTTTTAAAATTCCAAAAAAAATACTAATTTCATAGTTTCCACAAAAACGATCGTCATATTATGAATAAAAAAAAACTGATTTACAAGAAATTAAAAACATGTTTTTGAGTATCGTGTTGTTCAAAGAATATCATGTAGATTAAGAAAAAAGGGCAAAATATTAAACCCCGCCCACCCGCCCTCTCTTATTTGTGATTTTTTTTTTTTTTTTATTCGCTTTGAACCAAGAGGGCGGAGCTTAACTGCAAAATGCTTATTTCTTTACATGAAATTAAAAACATATTTTTGAGTATCGTGTTCAAAGAATGCTATATACATATGTATATTAAGAAAAAAAAAGCAAAATATTAAACCCCGCCCACCCACCCTATCTCAATGCTGATGATTTTTTTATTCCTAGAAACTTAAAACACGTTTAAGATGGTAAATTTTTGTATGGAAATATGGATTTTGCAGTTAAGCTCCGCCCTCTTGGCTCACGACGAATAAAAAATATCATCACAATTGAGATAGGGCGGGTGGGCGGGGCTACATTTTGCTTTTTCTTTCTTAATGTGTGTAGACTTATTTCGACTTAAAATTAACTCTGTTAAATGCAATTTTCGCCATGTTTTCTTCTACTTCATGACTTTTTTATTTGAACACTCGTTATAAGAAATTTTGCCACATTTTAAAATTGAAGTATGTATAAAGTTGTCGAGTAACACCATCCGTTCGAAACGTAGCTGAGAGTTTAACAATTTTTTTCTATTATTTGAAGAACGAAAAAAAATGGCATAGTAAATACTATTTAAATTTTATAAAATAACTTAATCCTGTATTTGTGGTTTATGAATCTTCCTTGATTACTTGTCCTAGGCATCGAGAATTTTCCAAACCTTCCAAATTGTGTAATAACATTTTATGTACGTTTTAAAAATACCAAAAAAATTACCAGTTACAAGGTTTCCATAAAAACGACCGGCATATTGTGAGTAAAAAAAAAAACTATTTCGAAAATACCAAGTGTCAATAATTATAAATGGCTAAGAAAAAATCCTAATTAAAACTAAGAAAACAAGAGAAAATATCAAGAACCCTCGCTACGCCTCGCGCTTTAATCTTCAGTGGAAGGATAATGGTACTTTTTTCCGACATTTCTAATAGTAACAACTAATAAAGCGCTTAGTCACGTCATTTTACTACTCGAGGCGTAGCCGAGAGCTTAACATATTTTTTTTTTAATGTTTAAAAAAAGAAAATATCATTGCGTGATAAATGCTATTTATATTTTATAAAATAACTTACTCCTGCACTTGTGGTTTATGAATTATGGGGCGGAGCTTGATTGCAAAATCACCCTATCTCAATTGTGATGATTTTTTTTATTCTTAGAAACTTAAAACACGTTTAAAATGATAAATTTTTGTAAGGAAATAAGGATTTTGCAGTTAACCTCCGCTCTCTTGGCCCACGACGAATAAAAAAATTCATCACAATTGAGGTAGGGCGGGTGGGCGGGGCTACATTTTGCCTTCTTTTTTCTTAATATGTGTAGACTTTTTTCGACTTAAAATTAACTCTGTCAAATGCAATTTTTGCAAGTAAATATGGATTTTGCAATTATGGAGCAGAGCCTAATTGCAAAATCGATAATTCCGTATAGAAATTTTCCATTTTAAACATGTTTTAAGTTTCATATTATGAAAAGAAATCTACACATATTAAAACGAAAAAACAAAATCTAAGCCCGCCCACCCACCCTGTCTTGATTGTGATGATTTTTTTATTCCCCGTAAACCAAGGGGGCGGAACTTAACCGCAAAATGCTTATTTCTTTAAAAAGAAATTAAAAACATGTTTTTGAGTATCGTGTCCCAAGAATGCTATATACATATATTAAGAAAAAAAAAAGCAAAATATTAAACCCCGCCCACCCACCCTATCTCAATTGTGACGACTTTTTTATTCTTAGAAACTTAAAACACGTTTAAAATGGTAAATTTTTGTATGGAAATATGGATTTTGCAGTCAAGCTCCGCCTTCTTGGCTCAAGACGAATAAAAAAAATCATCACAATTGAGATAGGGCGGGTGGGCGGGGCTACATTTTGCCTTTTTCTTCTTAATATGTATAGATTTTTTTCGACTTAAAATTAACTCTGTCAAATACAATTTTTGCAAAGAAATATGGATTTTGCAATTAAGGGGCGGAGTCTAATTGCAAAATCGATATTTTCTTATACAAATTTTCCATTTTAAACATGTTTTAAGTTCCATATTATGAAAAGAAATCTACACATATAAAACAAAAAAACAAAACATTTTGCCTTTTTCTTCTTAATATGTATAGACTTTTTTCGACTTAAAATTAACTCTGTCAAATACAATTTTTGCAAAGAAATATGGATTTTGCAATTATGGGGCGGAGCCTAATTGCAAAATCGATATTTTCTTATACAAATTTTCCATTTTAAACATGTTTTAAGTTCCATATTATGAAAAGAAATCTACACATATAAAACAAAAAAACAAAACATAAGCCCGCCCACCCGCCCTGTCTTGATTGTGATGATTTTTTTATTCGCCGTAAACCAAGGGGGCGGAACTTAACTAACTGCAAAATGCTTATTTCTTTACAAGAAACTAAAAACATGTTTTTGAGTGTCGTGTTCAAAGAATACTATGTATATTAAAAAAAAAAGGCAAAATATTATACCCCGCCCACCCACCCTATCTCAATTGTGATGATTTTTTTTTATTCTTAGTAACTTAAAACACGTTTAAAATGGTAAATTTTTGTAAAGAAATAAGGATTTGCAGTTAAGCTCCGTCCTCAAGGCTCACGACGAATAAAAAAAATCATCACAATTGAGATAGGGCGGGGCTACATTTTGTTTTGTTTTTTTTTTTCCTTAATATTTGTAGACTTATTTCGATTTAAAATTAACTCTGTCAAATGCAATTTTCGCTATGTTTTCTTCTACTTGATGACTTTTTCATTTCAACAATGAACATCCGTTGTAAGAAATTTTGCCGCATTTTAAAATTGAAGTATTTATAAAGTTGTCCAGTAACACCATCCGTTCGAAGTGTGGCTGAGAATTTAACCTTTTTTTTTTCTATTATTTGAAAAAAGAAAAAAAATGCATATTAAATGCTATTTAAATTTTATAAAATAACTTAATCCTGTATTTGTGGTTTATGAATCTTTCTTGATTGTTTGTCCTATGCATCGAGTTTTTTACAATTTTTTTCTTAATATACAGAGCCATCTTTTCACAACAAGAAACTTTAAACGTGGTTAAAATGGATCATTTTTCAAGGAAATATGGACTCTACAATTATGGGGCAGAGCCTAATTACAAAATCAATATTTCCTTATACAAATTTTCCATTTTAAACATGTTTTAAGTTTCATGTTGTGAAAAGAAGTCTACACAAATTAAAACAAAGAAACAAAATGTAAGCCCGCCCGCCCACCCACCCTGTCTTGATTGTGATGATTTTTTATTCGCCGTAAACCAAGGGGACAGAGCTTAACTGCAAAATGCTTATTTCTTTAAAAAGAAATTAAAAACATGTGTTCCAAGAATGCTATATACATATATTTTGAAAAAAAAAGCAAAATATTAAACCCCGCCCACCCACCCTATCTCAATTGTGATGACTTTTTTTATTCTTAGAAACTTAAAACACGTTTAAAATGGTAAATTTTTGTATGGAAATATGGATTTTGTAATTAAGCTGCGCCTTTTTTGGCTCACGACGAATAAAAAAAAAACATCACAATTGAGATAAGGCGGGTGGCGGGGCTACATTTTGTCTTTGTTTTTTCTTAATCTGTGTAGACTTATTTCGATTTAAAATTAACTCTGTCAAATGCAATTTTCGCTATATTTTTTTTTACTTGATGGCTTTTTCATTTGAACATCCGTTATAAGAAATTTTGCCACATTTTAAAATTGAAGTACATATGTATAAAAAATATAGTAAATGCTATTTAAATTTTATAAAATAACTTAATCCTGTATTTGTGGCTTATGAATCCGCCTTGATTGTTTACCCTAGGCATTCCGATTGTTGCAAAACAATCCAAATTGTATGGTGACATTTTATTTACTTTTTTTTTTTGCCAAAAAAAATTACCATTGTTTTGTTTTGTTCATAAATATTGCATCTAAAATTTAATGATGAATGATTTTAGAGCATTTGGTTGTGCAATTTTTAAGTTAATTTGTAAAATGTTGTTACGTAATTTTGATTTTTTTCGCAAAAATCTGGACGTCCTAACGTAAAAAATCAATGCGGATTCATAAACCACACATAGAAGTATCTTATTTTAAGAAATTTAAGTAGCATTTAGCACTCAGAATTTCGAGATGGCGTCTTAAATTGTTGATTGGGATGCTGAGACAAATTTTGGTTAACATTTGACCACCTACAGGATGGTCCTAAAATTCATATAAAATTTCACAACAATCAGTCCAGTAGTTTTGGAGATTATAGAAATACGGAAACGGGAAACCTGTTTTTATACCCAAAGGTCATGAAAATTTAATTAAATTTGCCCAAATAAATTTCGGTTGGCACTCTTTGTAATTTGTGAAAAATCTTGACTAACTCTGAAGAGGACGAATAATTTCAATTAATATTCATAACAGAAGAAAGTTCAGAGGACGAGGGCGACGGCGTCAACGTCTCCGTCGACGCGTCAGAAGACAGCTCCGAAGAAGGCGAAGACGCGAACGAGGAGGACCTCGAAGACGACGACGACGACGACGATGAAGACGAGGCAAGATTCCCTTTCCGCGCAGACATGACAGAGCGACCGGGCGTCGACAGCGGGTGCACCGCAGTAGTCGCATTGTTAAAAGGCAACAAACTATACGTGGCAAACGCGGGCGACTCGCGTTGCGTAGTGTGCCGAAACGGTAACCCAAAAAAACCACAATTTCGTAAAAATAACCCAAACTTTGTAGGCAAAGCGGTCGCGATGAGTCTCGACCACAAACCGGAGGACGAACCCGAAATGCAGAGGATAGTGAAAGCGGGCGGCGAAGTTTTCAACGACGGTCGCGTCAACGGGGGGCTGAATTTATCGAGAGCTATAGGAGACCACGCATACAAGAAAAACAAAGAACTGTCGGACCGCGAGCAGATGATCACGGCTTTGCCCGACATAAAGACCTTGACGATAGATCCGACCGACGACGAGTTCATGGTGCTCGCCTGCGACGGCATTTGGAATTCCATGTCGAATCAAGAGGTTGTTGATTTTGTGAAGACGCGCTTGCAGGAAGGTCGGGAGAAATTGTCGCAGATTTGTGAGGAGGTGAGACAGCGAGTTTGTGATGCAAGGGTTTTAATTGTTGTTTCAGATGTTTGATCACTGTCTGGCTCCTAGTGATGGTATGGGTTGTGACGGTTGTGACAACATGACCTCGATCATAGTGAAGTTTAAATCAAACTTTAAAAGAGCTATTTCACCGCAATGTGAAGAAAACACGAAACGGGCAAAGACTGAATCAGACAGTAATGTACAGGTCCATACAACAGTATAAGGTTTTCTATACACAGATTCTATGTATGTTTTATTTTTAATCACTCCATTCTTCTTATTTTAATAACAGTGTGAGAGATCAGCATTGTCTTTACTTCGGTTTTTCTATGATGATGTTTCTGTTATACAGTTCTTTGTTGCTAAACGCCATGGTGTAGGTGCCTTCAGTTAAAATAAACACCGTGGTGGTAATATATTATAGATTTGTACAATATAGCTGTATTTTAATATTCTTATCATGTATTGTTAATTCTAATTCCTGGAGAATGAGCCGGAGGTAATTTAATTGTAATTTTTTAGTTGCGTCTCAGGACACGTCGTTTGTAAGTCACTGAATTGTGTATTTTGTAGTTTAATTTAATCGTAAGTTTTGTGTATTTATTTTAAACATGAATTTGGTAGATCAGACCTAGTAAGGAAAATTGTTACAATAAAAGATTCTGTAATAAATTATTAATATATTTTTAATAAGGAAATTTACAACGATGCTCGTTTCTAACATTTTGATCTGTAGGATTTTTTTTCAGTCATAGAAACGAAAATAACTTCTATATTTTTACGAATTCGTGTTTATTTTTGTAACTTTTTTAATGCGTAATTGCATCGACAATGTAAAATATTCACGTAGAATTTTTGAGTTACTTAATTCACATTAAAGTTGTTGATACGACGGAATTAATGTATTACTTAAGACTGGTTTGTAGATAATTTTTTCAGATAACCTTAACGAACCTTCTGTGGAGATACACAAATTTTCATAGTGTTCCAGAAACATTAATCAATTTTAGTGTCAGTGGCGGCTCGTCATGACGTGTTCGTTGGGTCAATTACAAATATTGACCTCGGAAAGAGATTTCCCCCTGTGACTTATAGTAAAATTAATTTAAAGTAGACGGAGTCAAATACTACCATGGATATTTTTACGACAGAGAATACAAGTGTGCAACACCGCTATTTTTTATTACAGAACATATGTATTACAATATTAGAACAACTATTTTATCAAAGATCACAGTAACAACTTGACGATAAAATAAAATTCAATCTTCATGTCTCAATAAATTAAATAAGCCAATGAAATTCGAGGGTGAATGTGAGTAGGACTAGTTGTATCTTTTTTTATTTACATTCCACTATTTCTTAATTCAAAATAATATCGAAACATGAAAAATCCTAAAAATAAAGAAAATAAAAAACTGGAACGAGATATTGTAAATCGGAAATTTGAAGAATTGAAAAATGGAGAAATGAAGAACTAAAAAATTGAAGAATTGAAGAATGAAAAAATTTTAAAACCCAATAATTGAAAAATCTAAAATCGAAAAATTCAAAAAGTGAAAACTTACAAATTTATAATTAGATGTTTAAAAGGAAAACTAGAAACATTGCAAATTAAACATTGAAGATCCGAACATTTGGAAAATCGAGAAACTAAAAAATCTAAAGTGGAAAAATCTAAAACTCGAAGAATTGCAAATCGAAAATTTGAAAAAACGGAAAATTGAAAAAAATTAAGTTGAGAAAACAAAAAATTATTAAATAGTAATGGAAAATTTGAAAAACTAAAAATAAACCGAAACAAAAAACTAAAAATCGAAAATTTGAAGAGTTGAAAAATTTTAAACTTAGGAATTCAAAACTGGGGGAATTTTAAATGGAAAAATTGCAAAATCTAATAACTGAAGAAATGAAAAATTGAAATTAAAAAATATATAAAATCGTAATAGTGAAAAATCGAAAAACTGTAAAGAAATGAAAAATTAAAGAATCGAAAAATTCAAAAGTTAAATAGAAAATTCGTGAAATTTTAAATGGAAAAACTGCAAAATCCAAAAACTGAAAAAAATTAAAAAAAAAACAAAACTGAAGAAAAGAATAACTGAAAAATTGCAATTCGAAAAACTGAAGAAGCGAAGAATTTTTGAAAGTTTTTACATGTTTAAAATGAAAACTAGAAAAATCGAGAAACTGAAGATCTAAAATTTAAAACTTGTAATTGCAAACCGAAAAATTACAAATCGGAACACTGAAAAATTTTAGTTTATAAAAAAGAAAAATTATAAAATAAGATCTTTGAAAAACCTAAAAATTTAAGAGATGAAAGAAAAATTGGAAAATTGAAAACTTGGAAAATTGCAACTGAAAAAAAAAACAGTATTTATCAATATAAAATCCACTTTTCTTCCAATAAAATGACTGATCGAGAAGAAAACGGGGGGGGGCGGGACCACTTTGAAGTTTTTTTCAATCGTAGATTCGAACACTTGACAAAATAAAATATTATCTTCATCTCTCAGTAAATAAAATAAGCCTTAGTGAAATTCAAGGGTGAAGGTGGGTCGGATTTTTTTTTGTTTAGATTCCACTATTTATTATTCAAAATAAAATCGAAAAATCCTAAAAATAAAGAAAATAAGAAAGCAAATAACTGCAAATCTAAAATTTGAAGAAATGAAAAAACTTTAAAACCCAATAATTGAAAATGGAAAAGTTGGAAAATTGAAAAACAAAAAAAACGGAAAACTGAACAAATGAAATTGAGAAAACAAAAAATTATTGAATCGTAACTGAAAATTTGAGAAACTGTAAAAATAAAAAAACCGAAACGAAAAACTAGAAATTGAAAAATCGGATGATTTTTTTTTCCTCTACTCTGTAATTTCTCTGTTAAATAAAAATAATTGCTAATCGAAAATTTGAAGAAACGGAAAACTGAAAAAACAAAGTTATTGAATCAACATTGAAAATTTGAAAAACTGTAAATATAAAAAAATATATAAAACCGAAACGAAAAATTGAAAATTGAAGAAATGAAAACTTAGAGTTCAAAGAGTCAAAAATTTGAAATTTTAAACTCGAGAAATTTTAAATGGAAAAATTGCAAAATCTAATAACTGAAAAAACAAAAACAAAATAAAAATCTCGAAGTCGCAAATCCAAAAACTGAAGAAATGAAAAATTGAAAAATTTGAAGAAACGAAAAAGTGACATTAAAAAAACAAAAAAATTAAAATTATAAAATCGTAATATTGAAAAATTAAAAACGAACGAGAAAAGAAATGGAAAATTAAAGAGTCGAAAAATTGAAAAATTAGAAATTGAAAATTCGAGGAATGCTAAAAGGGAAAAACTGAAAAAAAAAACAGAAAACTGAAAGCCCGCAAATCGAAAAACTGAAGAAGCGAAAAATTTTAAAAGTTATTACATGTTTAAAATGAAAACTAGCAAAATCGAGAAACTGAAAATCTAAAATTAAAAAAACGAAAAATTAAAAATTGAAAACCCCTGAAATTGCAAACCGAAAAATTGAAAACTGAGATATTATAAAATCAAAACTTTGAAAAACTGAAAAATTGAAAAAATAAAGAAAATAAAAACAGAAGCGAAAAACTGCAAACCTAAAAATCTATTTTTCGGTTTGCAATTTTATGAGTTTTCAATTTTTGGATTTTCCAATTTTTCTTTCATCTCTTCGGTTTTTTATTTTCTTTATTTTTTCAACTTTTCGGTTTTCAGTGTTCTGATTTTGTAATTTCTCTTTTTTTCAATGTGAAATTTCAGTTTTTGGAATTTACAATTTTCCGATTTGCAATTTTTCGGTTTTCATTTTTTCAATTTTTCGGTTCTTCAATTTTTGATTTGCAATTTTTCTAGTTTTCGTTTTAAATATATGAACTATTCATAATTTTTATAATTTTACAATTTTATGATTTTAGAATTTTTTGATTTTTAATTTTCGAAAAACTGAAAAATAGAAACGTCCAAAAGTTGGAAAATCGCAAAGCTGAAAAATTTAAAAATGAAAACTCGAATTGCAAATCATAAAATTGAAGAACAAAAAAAGAATTGAAAAATTGCAAATCGAAAATTTGAAGAAACGAAAAATTGAAATTGAAGAAACAAAAAATTATAAAATCCCAACATTTAAAAATTGTAAAACAAAGAAAAATCGAAGAAATTAAAAAATTTGAAAACCCAATAATTGAAAAATGGAAAAATTGTAAAATCGAAAAAGTGAGGATTTTTAAAAATTATAGATGTTTAAAAGGAAAACTAGAAAATTTGAAAAATCGACAAACTAAAAAATCTAAAATTGAAAAAAAGAAAAACTAAAAATCTAAAAGTCGAAAAATTGAAACATTGTAAAAATCAAAAAATGAAACATCCAAAACTTGGAAAATCGAAAAATTGAAAAATTTTACAATGAAAACTCGAAGAATTATGGTAAAATTGAAAAACAAAAAAAAAACGAAGAATTGAAAAATTGCAAATCGAAAATTGGAAGAAACGGAAAATTAAAAAAACTGAAATTGAAAAAACAAAAAATTATTAAATCGTAGCACTGAAAATTTGAAAAACTAAAAATAAAAAACAAAGGGAAAAACTAAAAATTGAAAATTTGAAGAAACGAAAAATTCAAAAATTAGAAGTTGAAAACTTGAAGAATTGCTAATCGAAAATTTGAAGAAACGGAAAATTGAAAAAAAAGGTTAAACCATAACACTGAAAATTTGAAAAACTGTAAATATAAAAAAATATATAAAACCGAAACGAAAAATTAGAAAGTTGAAAAATACAAAAATTTGAAATTGAAAACGAGAAATTTTAAATTCTAATAACTGAAGAAATGAAAAATTGAAAAATTTGAAGGGACGAAAAATTGGAATTAAATAAACAAAAAATAAAAATTATAAAATCGTAATATTGAAAAATCTAAAAACTAACAAAAAATAAAAAACGAAACGAGAAACTGAGGATCGAAAATTTGAAGTAATGGAAAATGAAAGAGTCGAAAAATTGAAAAATTAGAAATTGAAAATTCGAGGAATGTTAAAAGGGAAAAACTGAAAAATTACAAACCGAAAAATTGAAGAAGCAAAACATTTTAAAAGTTACTACATGTTTAAAATTAAAACTAGAAAAATCGAGAAACTGAAAATCTAAAATTAAAAAAACGAAAAATTGAAAAAATAACGAAAATAAAAAACCGAAGCGAAAAACTGCAAACCAAAAAATCTATTTTACGGTTTGCAATTTTATGAGTTTTCACTTTTCGGATTTTCCAATTTTTCTTTCATCTTTTCGGTTTTTTATTTTCTTTATTTTTTCAACTTTTCGGTTTGCAATGTTCTGATTTTGTAATTTTTTTTTCAATGTGAAATTTTTCAGTTTTTGGAATTTCCAATTTTTCAAGTCCTATATTTTTAATTTTTCGATTCTTCAATTTTTGATTTGCAATTTTTCTAGTTTTCATTTTAAATATGTACAATAGTATTCATAATTTTATAATTTTAGAATTTTTTGATTTTTAATTTTCGAAAAACTGAAAAATAGAAACATCCAAAAGTTGGAAAATCGGAAAACTGAAAAATTTTAAAATGAAAACTCGAAGAATTGCAAATCATAAATTTGAAGAACAAAAAAAGAATTGAAAAATTGCAAATCGAAAATTTGAAGAAACGAAAAATTGGAAAAA